ATTCCTCCCTGCTCTAGGGGTGTTGGTCACATCCTCTACTAAAGCTCTCTTTGCATAGGACATCAGTGACATAATAATGACTCACCTCAGGACCTCCTGCCTTGTTTTCTTAGACATTTGGCACTTGAACTTTCTTCACTTGGTTGTGTTATAGTTTTCTTCCTACTCAGAAGCGGATCCTCTCCACCTCTCTCCATAGCACTGGTTCCTTCGGCTCTCCAACTATGGAGAGAATATGAGGTCCAGTCTCCAGAGCTCTCTGCCCCTCGTTGGCAGCTTTCGTTATTACCTTCCCAAACAACATCTCTAATCCCAACCTCTCTTGACATTTGTCTTTACAGTCCCATGTGACTGATTGGCATTTTTATTCTTTTTTTATTTTTATTTTTGACTTGGAGTCTCACTCTGTCGTCCAGCCTGGAGTGCAGTGGCCGCTCCCGGCCACCGCAGCCTCGACCTGCTGGGCTCCGATGATCCTTCCGCCTAAGCCTTCCGAGTAGCCGGAATTACAGGCACGCGCTACCACGCCTGGCTGATTTTTTGATTTTATTCTAAACCATGAACTTTAATTTTTTTCTAGAATTTGTTTTTCACATTCAAACAGAATATTCTAGAGAGTTTTCCTTAAACTGTTACTCATTCACCTCTTTGCTGCCATGCCCACATCCTCCTTAAAATATGCTTATCATCCATGTGCTTTAATGTTTTTTGGAAATTTAAATGGGCTTCTTGCTTCTTGATTCTCCTCATTTGGGGAAATATGTTCAAATCATTTTTTAAAAATCATCTCAATTTCTCTCCTCCTAAAAGTTGGAAACCTTTAGCATAGTCTTAACCTTTTCGGTTACCCTATACCCTTTAAGTAGAATTTGAACGTATGACCTTGAATAACAGGTCTACCAGGTCTCCTTGCCAATACTTTCCTATTACCATTTCTTTGCCCCGATTCCTGGCTCAGCCACTCTGATTTCTCATTGTCCCCTGAGCCTGCCACGTGTATTTCCACCCTCATACTTGTATCCTGCTCTCCATTCTTATCCTCTGACCACATCCTACCGGTCCTTTAAAACCCAGATCAATACATCTTTGCTGATCCCACCAGTCTTTGATTATTTCTCCTTCCTCAAGATTCTTTACTAGCACTTATTGTCCATGAAATGAATTCTACTTATATTGTAGATTTTTTTTATATCCTTCCCAGTTAAATTTTAATAGCCTTGTATATGTAGACTGTCTTCTATTGTTTAAACATCCTTCACTTTTTAAGTAAAGGACCATGTCTGCTTAAACTGCCATCTTTGTCTCTGTCTCTTTTTCTCCTCTCTCTCTCACACACACACACACACACACACACACACACACACACACACACACGTACATAACTATTTACTTCTGATTTGTAGTCAACTTTATTGTTATCTTAGAATTTATGTAGTAGCATTTAAGTATTTTTAAAGTTTTGTTTTCAAGCTTATATTAAGATCAATATATTGTCAGAGTAGAGAACTTGGAAAATTGTGAAAAAGATAGAAGTCTTTCATATCCTTCCATAAGACTTGTTTTAAATATTTTTCTATAGAGGAAACACATACATACGTATTTACTATCATTCATTATGCATAATTTTGTATTCCTTTTTAATATTTTGTCATGAGCATTTTTTCTTGTCAAGTGATGCACTTTTAATTCTTTTAAAATTCCTATTGGTATCTAAGATGGGCTTGCTGTGACTGATCTCAATGCAATCCTCAAATACAAGAAGTCTTAGGTAATTTCCCTGTGAACAACCACAGGAATGTTATTTTCATCCTAGCACTGGTTAGTCCTTCTAACTACAATGAAAGGACGGTTCTCTAAGGATCAAGAAATAGATGAATCTCTGGGACTTGGCTTCTCTTTAGCCAGTTGAGCTTTGTTCCACCTTTCACCTTAATTCGACTCCTAATAGCTATGTCCAGAAGAGAATAGCAAAGGTAATGAGGAACCTGTCAACAAAGCTAAGTAAGGAGCAGTTGAAGGAATTGGGGGTGTTGAACTTGGAAAATATACACAGAAATGACCATCACTGCAACCTTCAGACATTGCCAGAGCAGTTGTTTGGAAGACATCTTGCTCTATTCATCTCTGGAGGATAGAAATAGGACCAACAGAAAATCAGATTTCAATTCAACAAAGGCAAGACATATCTAACAAGATTTCTAACAACTAAACTACTTTAAAAAAAAAAAACCCTGGGCTTTCATGATGAGGACTGAGGCCCTGAATGTACTCTGAGAGGATCCTGCAGAGGGGATTCTGGGCTCTCATAGATTATTTGATGCAAAATTGGATCTCCACACCCTATTTGGATTTGGAGCTCTGTTTACACAGTCACAGTTTTATTTATTTATTTTAACTTTCATCCTCACCCAAATAAAGCCTTATTTGACCAGTAAAGAAGCAAAGGCCCTGCTTGGATTACTCTAGTTTTAGCCTTAATATTGCATCATACTTCTTTCTAAATAATTCTTTGGCGTAACTAAGAGAACTATTATCCTAAATGTTTCTGTCTTTCATGAAGAGAGTCCACAGTGATCATCCTTCACTGATGACGATGAACATCCAAATGAATGGTTAGAGTGAAACAGGTAGTACCTTGCAACGAAAGACTGTGGTTTCTGAATCCTTGCTCTGCCACTTTGCTGCCTATGGGCCCCTGGACCACTTGCCAAAGCTTTCTATGTCTTTAAGTGTAATAACTTCACAGGGTTAAGAGGATTAAATTTCTTACTGTTTGTAAAAATGTGTAAAACAGTGTTTGCTACACAGAAGATACTCAGTAAATATCAAGCACTATGTGTGCTATTTTATATGAGATGCCATGGTGTGTGGTCTGATTACTCAATGAGTATATTGCATGATCAGAAAAACTTTGGCCTGGTGGAGGATATCTTGGATAGCAAAACGGTGTCATGAGGCATGTTTATGATCTGACGGGGAATGTACAAATGCTGGAGCTGTCCATGACTGAATGTCTTGTCCTGTCTTGGGTGATTAAGAAAGGCTTGTGAGGGAGGATAGGTAAGTTTAAACTGAAGGATGAGCTACCTTTAGTGAGTGAGAAGTTGAGAGCAAAAACGTTGAGTGCAAAATGCTTCACGTAAGAAGGAAGAAACCATATTAGAGGAGGCCCAAAGTAAGAGAGAACATGGTGTATTTGAAAAGACTCCAAAGATCTGCATAGAGTAAGGTAGCAGGTGTGGGTGGGTGTTAGTGGGACTTACATTTTAATTAACACTATTCCTTGATGTTTTTCATTGCATTCACCTTGCAACCTGATTCTATGTCTTATTCTCAGAAAGTCTCATATTTGGTCTTATAGGGTATCTACAAAATTTTCCTGGTTCCTTCCATCATTGGAAGTAATCTTCAGTCCCAATTCTACTGATCCTGACACTCACGTGTATAACCCTATGCAACCTTATTATTATTCTGGCCCCAGCAACAAGGCACCTCTGATTTTGGAGGTTTCATATGCTACTGGATCCTACCATTGTGTCTTATTTGACAATGGACTGGGGATATCCTAAATCCAGTACTTGACCGGAACTAATTTATCCAGAGGTTGTTCATTTGACTGTTTAGATATAATTAATTATGAGAAAGCTGAAGTATCACATTCCCAAGAATCTATATAAAAGAGAATTTTGCAGGCCGGGCTTGGTGGCTCAGCCTGTAATCCCAGCACTTTGGGAGACCGAGGTGAGTGGATTGCCTGAGCCTGCGGGTTCGAGACATGCCTAGGCAACTTGGCAAGACCTCATCGCTACCATAAATCAAAAAATTAGCTGGGCATGATAGTGCACGCCTGTAGTTCCAGCTACGTGGAAGTCTGAGGCAGAAGGATCGCTGGAGCCCAGCAGGTTGAGGCTGTGGTGGCTGGGAGTGGCCACTGCACTCCAGTCTGGGCGACAGAGTGAGACTCCAACTCAAAAAAAAAAAAAAGAGAGAATTTTGCAATTTTTTTACCAGTTGGTTTGTTTTCTTTTTTATTCTTTCTTTTTTCTTTGTAAGTACATTATTAGCATCAAAATGATCAGCTCAGTTTTAAGCTCAGCTTTTGACTTTATAAAGAATCTATGCTCAATGATTAGAATTGGACATATATTATAAATAATGTTTGCAAGTGATTCAATTTGGCCCATATTTTCTTTATAATGTTTACTTTGACTATATCACAAATTAAATTGATAAATTTATTTTTACTAACTAAAATAGGTTGCATTTATTTATTTTAATGGACTTTGTTGATTTCATATAATCTTTTATGTAAAATTATGATATTTTGAAATGTGGGAAGCCCTTGGTGCTCTAGTTAATAATGAAGAAGGCAGAAGTTTCATAAATTTATCACCAAATGTGGTTTCAATTCTTTTATTTTCTATTGAGTGGGTATGCTGTCACCAGATGGGGGCAGAGCGACACAGTGAGAGAGGAGAAAAGTGCTGTTCAGAAGCATCATGGTGAAAATCCAGCTAAGTAGCTTCATGTGTAGAACCTCAAGTTGTTTTGTTTTATAAATTTATCTTAAATATGGGCAACAAAATATAATGAAATGGAGCTACCTAGAGAAAATTTTTTAAAAAAGATTCTCCTGCTTAGAAGCCATATCTCCATTGACCAATTTGCCTTTGTGGTTCCATTTCAGTAATTAAGGTCTGAGTTCTTCAGAAGAGCTGCAAGCATTGGTATCTAAGCTCTACCCCTTATAGTTGTATCTCCTGCTACTTAACTGTTTACGCCTCAGTTTTCCTCATCTATCAAATGGTTCCTATCACTCCATATTGTGGTGAGGGTAAAATGAAATACTGCTTGTGACATGTAGAACATAGAGTAAACAGAGGTATAATGTATGTTAAGTCTTTTTTTGTTCTTATGGATTCTCTGGCCACCCACTTCCTCTTCAAACTTCTAAATCTTGCTTGGAAAGCAAGTTTTCATACTCCAATCAAATTACTTACTTTATAACTTGATGCCAAGCCATGGTCTTCAACTCTGTGCAAAAAAATTATGTTTCAGTCTTTTGGTTTGAAATATATGAGAGTGTTCTAAACATCTGTCCCCAATAAAAAGCCAGAAACTCTTAGTTGCAGATGTTGATTTGCTATTAAACTGCTTCTCACAAGGGTGACTCTATGTACAGCAGATATTTATTCATTAACGGCGATTAAGATTCTCCACAGCACTCAGGGAAAAGTTGGTGGTGAATCAATTAAAAGTTCCATGTACAGAGCCTGTCAGAGGAGAAAGTTTAAGAATAAGGCAAGTCCACCTTAACATCTCACTTCATGGCTGGGTGTTCTTGGAATAAATCTGCTCTTCTCTGTTGTAAAATAACAACAGTAATATACTACCTAATTTAGGCATATGCTAAATGTTACTTTCTTTATCTTTCCCCCATAACCAACTGTCTTTTCTTTGTATTTATTTTTGGTCCTTACTAGCATGACCATACAATTTGTAGTTCAAACTGGGACACTTCTGAGAGTGAAATGGTGTGCTAAAAATAATGGAAATAATATAATTTTTGACATGTATCTGTGAATGAAAAACTGATTTTATCATATTAACTAATAAAATAATCTATTTGAAAATTATTTTTAAAACTAAAAATCTTTCAAGCTGTAAAATAATAGATATCTGTGTGCATTGAAAAATACCATTTTTTCTTTTCTTCAAATTTCCTTTTAAATTTTTTTATTTGAAGAAAACCTTTTTAAAAACTTTTTAACATTGATTATCTGAGCAAAAAAATAGCATAAACAGAATAATTTTTCTTGGTACATATTCCTATACTTTAATCAGTTCGTTTTATCTATTTATATATCTATATCTTTAGCTATATGTACTTATTCTATCACTTGTTTTTTCTGAATAATGTGTTCTTTTCAATGTTTTTTTTTTTTTTTTTGAGTTGGAGTCTCACTCTGTCGCCCAGACTGGAGTGCAGTGGCGGCTCCCAGCCACTGCAGCCTCCACCTGCTGGGCTCCGGCGATCCTTCTGCCTCAGCCTTCCGAGTAACTGGAATTACAGACGCACGCTACCACGCCCGGCTGATTTTTTGATTTACTGTAGAGATGAGGTCTCGCTGACCAGGCGGGTCTCGAACCCACGGGCTCAGGCAATCCACTCACCTCAGCCTCCCAAAGGCACGGGATTACAGGCTGAGCCACCAAGTTCGGCTTCAATATGTTTTTTTCTATTTTTTCACAAAAATTGAAACTTATAAGTTTAATAACAATTGAAACTTGCAAGGTTAATAATTGTGATTCATTGATACAATTAATTTACTCTTTCAATAAATGTTATTAACTGATACCTTGAATTGACTTAATTTTTAATTGAAAAAATACTCTGCCCTCAGTGCTGAAGTACCTAGTAAGCACATAGTAAATTCTGCTAAACAGAGCTTATCCTCAATTGTAATTTTTCATACTAAAATGTGTAAATGCTTCCACCCAAACATTTTTACATGTACTGTCATTTTGACTGTAGTCCAACAACAAATTCATTAAATAATTTCTTTAGTCATTATTATTATTATTTACATTTTGCCAAATTCAGGAGGCACAGAACTGAGGCCTTCTTGATTTTATTCCATTGTGGTCAGGAAATATATTTATTAAGTTAAAAGTAACCCCATTAAATGACTTTTTTTACTGGTTGAGATATTCCAGAGCATATCTCCAATATTTTATTTTGAATACTCTGAATTTTCATTGTTATTTGTTCAGTTCCTGCAAAGTTTTATTGGGATAGATATAAATGCCTATCTGTGTATAGCCTCTGTTTTTAAAAAATGCAATTCTTTAAAAGCTCTGTAACCTGGCATTTTTTAATGTGCTACTCGTTAAATAGTTTGACTAAAGATTCATGACTGATTTTGAATAAAATGCAACCAAAATTTAGATATTGAGTTAGAAAATGCTCCTTATCAGTGTAAAATACGTTGATTTATAAAAAATTCTTCCAAGGTCCAAACAATTTTAAAATGCAAACTATTGCTGGTTAAAATGATCACTATTTTTAAAAGAATTCAGCATATTGTCTTCATAAAATATTTGCTCAATTGCTTTTACAATGTATATAAAAATATATTTGTATATACCAACATCTGTAGGTTCTCTTTCTATTGCCAGAATACTGTAGCTCATTTGGATACAGATAAGACTGATGCACACTGCACAATCAATTACAAACACATTTCTGTTCCATAGATTTCTTAATTTAATTATAATACTCTTACCATTACATGGTGTTCCCCCAAAATTGTATTCATTTTATCACCATAAAAAAGAAAGATTACCCAAAACTTTGTCTCCTATGTTGAATTTTTATTTTTATTTTTATTTTTTGAGTTGGAGTCTCACTCTGTCACCCAGACTGGAGTGCAGTGGCCGCTCCTGGTTACTGCAGCCCCGACTTGCTGGGCTCCAGTGATCCTTCTGCCTCAGCCTTCCAAATAGCCAGAACTACAGGCGTGCGCTACCATGCCCGGCTGATTTTTTTGATTTATTGTAGAGATGAGGTCTCGAACGTGCAGGCTCAGGCAATTCACTCACCTCGGCCTCCCAAAGTGTGGGATTACAGGCTGAGCCACCGAGCCTGGCCAAATTTTTAAACCAAATTTATAACATGCACAATAGTACTGGACATTTTATCTTTAACTGAATCCGCTCACAAAACTTTCACTTTGATTCCGTGACTTAGATGAAAAAAACTGAATAACATTAAAATTAATTTTATTGATTTTCCATTTGAAGCATCCAATGGCAGTGATGTAAAATTGACTTCATGTCACTGTTTGCAAAGTTCTGTTAATGGACTTAACACATTAGCAGCTATCACTCACTAATTTTTATGTGCAAAGAAGACCCTGTATTAAAAATAAGTAAGTGAAATTAACTTAGAAGTACTGCCGGCCGGGCTCAGTGGCTCAGCCTGTAATCCCAGTGCTTTGGGAGGCCAAAGTGAGTGGATTGCCTGAGCCCGTGGGTTCGAGGCCTGCCCGGGCAACTTGGCGAGATCTCATCTCTACAATCAATCAAAAATTAGCTGGGCATGGTGGTGTGTGCCTGTAGTTCCAGCTACTTGGAAGGCTGAAGCAGAAGGATCGCAGAGCACAGCAGGTTGAGGCTGCGGTGGCGGGGAGTGGCCACTGTACTCCAGTCTGGGCAACATAGTGAGGCTCCAACTCAAAAAAAAAAAAAAAAAGAAAAGAAAAGAAAAGAGAAAGTACCGCCATTTAATTTAACTAAAAAAGTCATGCTTCACAGAGTGCTATATTCCAGCTTCTGCAAATTACATTTATTAAATCGTCATTTGGGGGCAGAGTTATGAAATAAATACTAACTCAAAGTAAATGCTGACATACTTTAGTAGATTAGAGTGTTGTAGTTGTTATGAGGTTTGTGTTTTTCCTGTGGCTCCAAAATGGGTGGTTAATATTAAAAAACATTTTGGGTAAGTTACATGTTTCTCATGAACTTTCTTAAGAAATGAAAATTCAGCCTAATTCGTTAAACATGCATTTTTTAAAAAACTCAGCACTGCTGCAAGTGTTTATTACAAAACAAAAATGAAAACCAAATCATAAAAGAGTTGTCAATTTAGGCCACAAAGCAAACTAACAAAACTACCCAAGAAGAGGAATCAGAGTATTCTACACATTCTGTGGTAGGACTGTTCAGTCTCTCTCTCTTACACTTTCGTGTTCACTTAAGCTGCAGTTTTCCATGTTGTCCCCTGATCCCGCCAACAGGCAGCCTAATAGTTCCCTGCATTCCACAGGCTGCAAGATAAAAAAACTGACTAGCACACACAATGGCTGACTGAGGCAGTAACATTCAACACTTCTGCCACCACTGTTACTCTCCAGTCTATATTGTCTGTGTTAGATCATTGTGCCATTCGAGGGGCAAGTGTTAGTCTTAATGTATCTGGGTGAGTTAAGGAGAGGAAAGATGGGTTATCACTAGTTATCTCAGATTTAACTGCATGTTCAAGTTACATGTGTTAGATGAGACCCCGGTAGAAGCTACAAGTTCAAAGCAGAGTTCTACCAAACCATCCTAGTTTATTGCCACACAACTCAAAATATCAGCTCAACGTATTAAGACTTTGGGACTACAGGAATAAATTAGGACTGTGGTGAGCAGGCAAGGGTATGTGACTGGGCTACACAAAAGGAGCTTTATCTGTGCAAAACTCTTGCTCCTGTCTGGCTCCTGTTATCCCACTTCTCCTAAATGCTTTTTCATTTTAAGAGTGACTTGGCTCCTTCTCTCCTTTCCTTAGCTTTTTATGGGCAATAAAGCCCAGCTTCTTCCCAGCTTCATGATTTAGAGCTCTGCTTTACAGATTTAATGTCAGTTATAACTCAATCTTTACAGACCTTTTTTAACTCAGAAAGAGAAGGAATTTTCAATCACGTGATTGAAAAATCATTCTAAAAAATAGAAGTGCACTTGGATTTTAACAAGTTCATTACTTGCTTCTCAAAGAAGGTAGAATTACTAGTAGAAATGTAAGAAGGAAGCATAAAGGAGATGTAAGCTTTTCTATGACTGAAATCCCATTTTTAGATTTAGCTGTATCTCAGAGAAAGCTGGCTTGATGACACTGTATTAATTTGTTTTTATGTTATTTTGTAGATGTTTTATATATTTCAATATATTGTGCTTCTTCAATTGGATTGTAAACTCTTTGAGGACTTTTTACCATGTTAGTATTATGCCATAAATTTTAGTATAGTGCCCATATTTATTTATTTCCTATATTTATTGACTGAGTAGTCTATAAAATTTCTCTATTTTTACCTGTAAACAGAACCCATTTATCTTTTTCTATCATCATCCTTAAGTCCCAGTCAGTGAGCAAAGAAATGAACAGAAGTTTAACTCTTGAGCATGAGGAATATTGCCATGCAGGAAGCCACACCTTTTCAGTAAGGTACATAAGATAGGTTGGGTTTATTTCCCACA